TCGTTCGGCATGTTTGATATAAATTTATTTGAAGTTTATCTTCTTAAGTTAAATCCGTTAAATCCATGGAATAATTGGATTTAGTAAATATGGATATACTTTACAAAATAGATGGAAAAAAGAAAATTTTGATTTAATGTTTAATATAATATATAATGTAATTTTAATTTTGTTTAATATAATACTCAAAGCCAAGAAAATTTCAGAAAATAAAGAAATTCAGAGGAAATAGCAAACGAAAATCTCCAGCTCACACAAAGAAAACATCACCAACCCCGAAAATCTCCCCGAACAACTTTCAGAGAGTGTAAAGAAAATTTCAAGTCAAGAAAGAAATCCTCAAATCGTCTAAAGCAAAAAAAAATGCTGACCCTGAAATCTTTCCCCAATGGGGTATTTATAGGCGAAGATGAGAGAGGGGCTTAGCGATGGTGACCATCGGGGCGGTGAGGAGAAACACCCAAAATGGAATGAAAACACCCCAAAATCAAGAGTAGGAAGGTTAATGGACTTGGTTGAGCGGGAAAATCCGCTTACCGGTTAGGCAGTCAGCGACGAGGGTCGGTTAGAGCTGACAAGAAAGAATATGATCCGAAAATCAGGGGGAAACTTCAAGAACAAGGTTATTCGCTGAATGGGAGAATGCTAGGGCTAAGTTCGGTCCTGAGATCGAGAAGGGGAGGTGTGGGTTGAGGAAGGAAGTGTATGTTTTTTTTTATTTAATTAAATTTACTAAAAAAAAAGTAATATTATTTTATTCAAAATTTATCAATTTATGCACAACTTAATCCAACTTGGAACCCTATTAAGTTATATATCCTTACCGACTAAAATCGATGTCCTGGATGCACCGGCGCGGTCAATTTCGTCATCCAGAGTCACCCAAAAAAGTTCGTCGAATATCATACCAATTTAACTTTAATTCACGCACATCACGACAAAATAAGTTATTTTGGTCCAATCGGAGCCGTTTAACGAGTATATCATTGACCGATCGTCACATAAGCGACAATCAAAGTCAAGTAAACTGCTAGCGGCAAAATGTCAAACGTCACACATGTCATGAAGTCCACTTATGCCTTTTAAATTTCTATGGGAACTCAACAAGAGCTTCAATATGTCAGCTTTAATCGACTCAACACGTCAAGGATTAGAAACCGTCCATATGAAACTTCAAGGAGCAAAGAAATGACTTGAATTTCTAATTATTGTAGGTCTTGATCTAGTCCTTTAGGAGAGTAAAAATAGAAAAATACTAAGGCTAGATCTTAGGATATCTAAAGAAAGGGAAATGAAGACCTAAAAAATGATGTCAACATTTAACTGAGCTCGGATTTATCTAACCTATTTTTCCATGGTTGACATGATTTACATAAAATTCATACATAAATTGTGTTAAAATATGTTGAGTATTGGTGGAGTCTGATCCACTACTCAGATTGACAATTTCTTCTATATGATAGTTATTTGATTTGTTGTTTCTTTAATCACTCTTATTCTTTCCTTAATTTGGTTAACGCCATAACTGTGCCTTCTTATAGAGGATCCCACCTCCTGTTCGTGAATTGCGGGCTCTCGCTCATCTATTCGTGATAAAAAGGGGAGCTTCACCTTTCCTGTCCATGAGAAGCAAGCGAATTCGAGCAAGGAAGGTCACGGCCGAAAGGAAGCTTGCATGTGGCCAAGACAGTGAAGAAAGAGGATTTGTAGAAGTCGGAAATCGAAATAAGGCTTGCAAGCGTTTGAAGATTGGCAGACAGTTGAACCAGGGGCAACGACTAAAGCAGTTCTAGGCAACAAGGAATTGCGATCGGCGCAAATCTGAGGAAGAGAGAGACAAAAAAGTGGAATTGAGCTCTTGTAATTGAAGTGCTGAGAAATCTATGTGTTCTGAGGAAGAGAGAGACAGAAAAATTGTAACGATTTTCTTGTTCCAATTTTCACTTTATTGACGTCTTTTTTTTTCACAATAATTGATATCAGGGCTGTGGTTTAGATATGAGGAAAACGATATCCAGAGATGACGTGAAGGTATCAGGGATCAAGAAGTTTGATGTCACAGGTTTTGGTTACTGGAGGATGCAGATACATAACTATTTATATGTGAAGAAACTTTGTCTTTCGTTATTAGGAAATAAACCAAAAAAGATAGATGTGACTGAATGGAATCTGTTTGATTGACAAGTTCTTGGGGTTATTCGATTAGCTCTGTCAAGATCCGTTGCACACAACATCAATAAGGAAATGATGACTGCTGATCTCATAACAGCTCTGTCAGGTATGTATGAAAAGTCGTTAGTAAATAACAAAGTGCATCTGATGAAAATGTTATTCAACTTAAAGATGTTAGATGGTACGTTGGTTGGACAACATCTGAATGATTTTAACATCATCACAAATGAATTGTTGTCTTTGGAACTTGAATTTAATGATGAGTTAAGTGCACCAAAAGAATGTCAGTTTCTTGAAATGTGGCAAAGCACTAAAGGCAGGAAAATTGGAACTTGTACATAAATATGTGTGGGAACATTCTCTATTATCATCTCTTGGAGGCTCTCGTTATTATGTCGCTTTCATTGATGACCACAACAAAAATGTATGGGTTTATTTCATAAAGCATAAATCTGATATATTTAAAATGTGTTTAAAACTTAAACTTGGAAGGCCATGGTTGAGACGAGACAAACTTGAAACTGAAATGTTTGAGATCTAACAATGGTGGTGAGTTAAATGAGTACTGTCCAGCTTAAGGTATCATAATGAAGAAGATCATTTAAGAGACATCACAACAAAATATAGTTGTAGAACATATGAACAAAACCATAAATGAGCATGCTAGAAGCATGAGATTGCACCAATGTTCTGGGTAGATGCTGCCAGCACTACAATTTACTTGATTAACATGGGGTCATCTGTTCCATTATATTGTGAATTGCCTGAGGAGGTCTGGAGTGGGAAAAATGTAAAATTTTCTCACATTAAACCTTTTGGCTGAACTTTTGGCTATCTTTTTTATCTTCTTATTAATCATGATGCTCATAGCAAACTTGAGGCCAAGTCAAAGAAATATTATTTCATCGGCTATGAAGACGAGGAATTTGGCTATCGTTTCCGGGATGATCAAGATAGGAAGATCATAAGAAGCATGAATGTGATTTTTAATGAGAAGATCATGTACAAGGAAAAGTCCAATACAGTTTTTGAAGTTGCTCCTCAGGAATCCGAGTTGGTAAGATTTGATGACCTGCCAGAGGTCACAGTGTAGGACAGTGATGAAAGTGATGAGGAAAGTGGGTCCGGAGCACCCGTTCCTATTGTTCTGCAGTCAATTTCAGAGCCGTCCACCCATACATCTACAGTTCTCAGGTCAGTCAGGAATACAGGTTCTCCTCAGTGTTTCTCGCCAACGTTGAACTACATTCAATTGAGAGATGATAAAGAACCACAGAGTTATGAAGCAACCTTGCAAGATGAAAATTCGAGCAAGTGGAAGATGACCATGAAAGAAGAGATGAAAAGATAATATTGCAAAATAAAGATTAAGAATATAATATTGCATTTTAAGCTATTATATATGTTAAAAAATATTCTTTTATTTTTATTTACCATAAACTTTTATAATGTTCTTAATAATTCAAAATCAAGTTGCTTATACATTGACTCAAGATTAAGTTAAATTTCTTCCAATGGATCTAATTTTTGAGTAACCACTCTTCAAATTTAAGTTAAGAAAAATAATCCTTTGGAAAAGGCTATTGTCTCATCTATGATTGGGTCCGAAATCTTATCATTTTTTTAGATGGGGTCATCTAAATGAATGAATTCTATGATTGAGATTAGAAAGATGACTAATAATCTATCAATTTTAGAAAAAGAAAGTTAATGGATCATAGAAATATCTATTAGGATAATATGTTAATAGAAAAAGGGGTGATTCAGCAAAACATCATCTTTTGGGTAGAAAAGCTAAAGTCAAAATATTCGCTCCCTGAATAAATTTTCATTTTAGTGCACGAGGTTTCTAGGTAGCTAAACATGTGATGATGTGAAACATATTAATACCTTTAAAGTTTTTATTATAAATATCAATTGCCCTAAAAATGATTGTTAATCAGACAATAAATATACTATTGTTCTTATAATATATATAATTAATGAAGTAAAACTTTAATATCACAAATATATGAAGATGTTTCCCACCATACTTTAATCCAGAAAACATAAACCAACATGCCATCAAAACCAACATAATTTTATAGTATTATCTTCCTCGGATCCATGCACTTTAAATATTCTAGTGAATTACTGTGACTGCATTTGACCTCATGATTTTTTTTCCCTACGGGGGCGTGTTTGAGTATTGTGTTTCCACTTATTTCTCAGCTAGAAGGAACTCTACTGCGCGACTGCTAAAAAGTTTCAAGATCCTCATATCCCTTGGCTCCCCTATCATGAAAATTTTGCATGGATGCAGACCACCTGAAAGCTAAATGGATTCCCACTGCAAAAATATTATCAGTACATCATACAACGGAACTGTAATTAGAAATCTGCATTATTGTTCATAGTGGGTACGCACAGTCAAGACAAAATAAGAAGATGCAGCTCTTTACAATACGGCATCCAAAGCCCCAGCGGTCAAAACAAAATAAAAAAGGTGCAGTCTTTACAATACGGTATCCAAAAGCTTAACAGAGCATAACAGTTTTTCTGATAGCGAAGAAGAACAGCCACGGCATTAGCCATTACTCAGAACAGAACCTAATCTGTCTGCATTTCAACATTCAGATCATATCCTACTGGGAAAAAAGTTAAATAAACAAAAACATATATGCAGTTAAATAATGTGGAAACTGAACAGATGCTGACATCTTCTGGGCTATAGAAACCTTAAAAAAAATAGGGAATGATGCTTGATCACCAATCAGCAATGTTTTTAACAAACATAATCGAATAAAAGATTGGAACTGCCAGAGAAAACTATAAGCAATGGGAAAAAAAAAAAAAAATCCTACTGCACTATGAAATACTTCCTCCCTTCCTTCCATGCGAAGATGGCTGGAAAGTTATAAGCGGATGCCCAGCTCTTTGCCCTACAAAAGTAACATGATCTCACATGTCAGAAACAGCTTTACCTATTTATGTGAAAATCATAATATGACATGCAATAAGGCCACTTCCCATAAAAATCACTGACAAACAAAAAAACTGTGAGCGAAGAATCAACTAAAGCAAAAACAATAAAAATAAATATAATTTAGTGATGAAAGGATGAAATATGGGAATAAGAAAATCATTGAAGTATTAAGAATTATTTTCATTTTATGCCGATAAATCTATTATGAACATAGTTCATGTTAAGATAGTTGATAGAAAAGTAATAAAGAGCAACGAAAGTCTTCCCATCAAAATCCCTTGTGTCCTGATGGTATTTACCCCTTACCTCCGCAAGGAAAGGGTTTCCAGGTCGACTTAAGAAAACAAAAACAAAAACAAATAAAATTTCATATATAAATGTTATTGGTCTTAGAGATAATAAGATCAAATATCATAATAATTGATTTTGTGTATGAGGATGTTAAGAGAAGTATTAGGTAGTTGTCTAGTGATTAAACAGTTTCTAATCACAATAAAATTACATTAAGTATCAATATTAAATCTATAAATTTTTACATTGATGATGAATATGCTTATAAATAATATTCACATTATAATAAATTGTAATGTTTCCATTGTTGATGATATAGTTTGGATAGACTATACATCATAAGTAGAGAGTTGAATGATTAACTTTTAAGGAAAAGAAAAATCTAAAAATTTGTAGAACATTGACCTAGTTCATGATGTAAAATTTTAACTTAATAATTATCAAAGCACAAAATTTTTAAGAAAAAAGCCTAAAGACATATAATTAGTAACCATAGGTTGCCTCCACCTAGATATCTTGAAAATGGGAGGTGACTGTATGTGAGTTTTAATGATTTTAGTGAGCTAGGTAGCATGAGAATTGATCTAAATATGAATCGGGGCATTCATCCATTTAAAGTCTATTAGGAAGGAGACTAGCTTCCACAAAGATTATGATAAATAAAATAAATATAATCCAAACACATAAAAGATAAACATCTACAATTCGAGAGGTATGCGATTCATGATGTAAAATTTTAACTTAATAATTATCAAAGCACAAAATTTTTAAGAAAAAAACCTAGAGACATATAATTAGTAACCATAGGTTGCCTCCACCTAGATATCTTGAAAATGGGAGGTGACTATATGTGAGTTTAATGATTCTAGTGAGCTAGGTAGCATGAGAATTGATCTAAATATGAATTGGGGCATTCATCCATTTAAAGACTGTTAGGAAGGAGACTAGCTTCCACAAAGATTAGGACAAATAAAATATTTTACTTCATCAACACAAAATAATATAATCCAAATACATAAAAGATAAATATCTACAATTCGAGAGGTATGCGATTTCTCCAAAACTCTAGCCCTAGATTCAAGACAACAATCATACACATAACCTAACCCTATATATATTAAGTCATATTTATATCCCACAATAATAACTAAAAAATGAATAAATTGTTTTTTTAATCTTATGCATAACATAAGTTTTCAAACTAGTTCTTAGTGAAAAATAAGTAAGACTAGTTCTTCATTTATTCAATCATGATGAATACAGAATAGGATACGTGTCAGTGAAAACTGGAATTATGATTGAATAGTCCTCTTTTGTTACATCTCCGGTTGACTTAAATGAGTTAACTAAAGTGTAATAAAGTGAGTGCACACAACACATAACATAGAATCTGTTTGGCGCAACTGCAGCTATTTGAAGAAGCAATTATGAAACTACTGAAGAAGAATCTGTTGTTTAAAAAGCTACGGTGACTATTACAAATATTTTTTTGAAAAAGTCAGACCGCAACTTTCTAGCACCCACCACAGGTAGCAATGTATGGCGAGAAAACACAGCTTTTAGTTACAACTTTTTGAAAACACAAGTAAAAAACAATTGTACCAAATAAGGAAAACTGCGGTGCAACACCACACCGCTGCCCCAATGCACCTTTAGACTTGTAGGTAATTGTGATGGAGGGTCATGCATATAAAAGAAGGGGAGCTTGCCGGTCCACATTAAAGGGCAGACTCCCATGCGGCCTATGTAGCGAAGCAGAGCTGAGTTAGCAAAGTGAGCTGGGTAAAGCGAGTGTGTGGGTCAAAGCTTCTAGAGCTGGACTAAGTTTCGTGAACAATGCGGGTGGAGTGAAAGTGAGAAAGTGCAAAAAAATTTTTATTTTCTTTCTTTCTTTTGTGTTTTTTTTTTGGTAAACATTGTGCTTTGACTAAGTTTTTTATTTTAGATTTCATCCCTCCCTCCCTAAAGCAAGCAATTACCCAATCAATAACCCTTATTGTTCCCATTGCAAAGACATACAATTGGGGCATTCATTTAGAATGCATTTCCAATAGTTTCTAACCCACAAAACATTCAAGGAATATATTGTAACTGGAAATGAGATAAGGATTAAATAGTCATCCTGTGAATAAACTGCAATATGATTAATGGAAAAACAATAACATATTTCTAAGGCTTGAGAAAATTTGTTTAAATTGTTTTTTCAAAGAATCTATAAAACCTGAATGTAGCTTAAAAGGTTACTGCAACTTATTTAAAAACATAAAAAAGCCTAACCATTTCCACATTACAAAATAACGGACCCAAATGAATTAATTCAAGTAAATGACACACACCCCCGCCGACAGCTACAAAGAAGTCTTGATGTGTTGCATAGAAAGATTGGTAATTATAAAATGCTCCCTCCCTCCCTCCCTCCGTATTTTTCATTTAGTGGCAACAAATTTAAGGCTTCTTTGGGCCACATAACATTTCTCTTAATTTAATAACAATAACATCTAATCGTCAGCAACTCCATGGAGTCCCATAATCAGGCCATATTTTGGTTTAGACCTGATGCGGAGCTCATGAGGGACCAGCTGGACACAGGTCCAGCCCAGCTGGACACAGGTCCAGCCCAGCTGGACCTGCCGATTCTCTTGGAGGGGAGCCCAGCTGGACACAGGTCCAGCCCAGCTGGACCGGCCGATTCTCTTGGAGGGGCGCTCCACCGCCCCTTCTAACCTCCCCTTTCCTTTCTTGTTTTCTCCCTTCGCTTTCCTTCCTTGACCTTTTCCCAATTTAAATCCTTTCGCCTAAATCCTGATTTTATTCTCCTTAATTTAAATCTTTTCCTAAAATATGAAATCTGATTTTTATTCTCTTTTCGTAGTTTAAAAGTCATTCTTAAAATCTGAAATCTGAATTTTATTCTCCTTCTTATTTTACATGTTTCCTAAGATAGGTAATGTCTCTTTATAAATAGGAGAGGATGCACTTTAAGTTTTGGGGGCATGTTTTATGAAATTTAAATTAAGTTTTGTCCGAGTATTTTCCCTCTTGTTGTTCTTCCAAAGCAACCCCCACTCCCTAGCCTTCACCACAACTGCCAATCCAGCCTCCGAAGACGTTCCTGCACCTCTCCAGCTACGGTTCGAAGTCATTACCATCGCCACCCTTGCTGCCACCGCATAGAACAACAAGGATTTGTTGTTTTCTAAATTTCTAGCTACCCCCCACCGCCTTATCCTCCTTTCTCCTCGCTGCCCTCATTTTCCCGCCCTCCACCTTCGCTGTCGCAACACACAATGCCTTTGCTGTTTTCCTGCTGTCCAGCAGCCCCAAACAGCAACCAATTGTTGTTTTGACTGCCTCCCCAAGCTGTTTTGCAGTTCCAGCGGCTGCACATCCCTCCTGCCACCCCCCTACAGCCGCAACCCTCTTTTCTCAACTACCAAACACCATTGAGCAGCCTCTGTCCTCGTCGTCCCCCACAAATGCCTTTTATTGTTTATGTTGTCATATTTGTTTGTCGTCTATTTCCTGCTTTCTTGTATTGTGTTTATAATATGTTTGAAATTTAGAAATAATATTTTTAATTGTGGTTTGGGTTAACTTCAGTATCATTTGATATTAAAGCTAGCCCAACCCTAGTCTCATCCTAGAGTTTCTAGCATCCGTCACTATTCAATCCACCTCACCAAATATCCTTTCCACAACCTAAACCCTAACCCCACCAAAATTTTTCTTTCTCATTCCTATACCTTAGCCATGCCACTAATGAGATATATGCCCAAAACTACCCGGGAAAAATATGGGGAGAGATCCTCTGACTTAAGCGGTGGATTACGAATATTGAGGATGAAATTCAATGGGAGGTTACTCTCAATCGTGATCAGAGGAGTCAAAGAAAAGAATGAGAGAATCTGAGGATGAAACAAGAGACACAATACCAATTTTTATCAGTTAGCTACAGACATAAATTGCACTCTATCTTCAGAAGTGAAGAGGCCACACCAATGAGAGACCTCCACATCTTATAGGCAGAGGTCAACCTCAAGATCTTAAAGACAGAGTGCACCCAAGGGAGCACCCAAGACGACCCCGTCAGAAAACAAACTGATTTAGAGTAGAGAAAATGTGAAACTCATCCGCATCCCTAAATCCGTCACAACCAGGAAGTGCTGCAAATGTCATAGATTTGGGCATGCAGAATCCGAATGCACCACCAAGGGTGAGATTTGTTTCATTGAGCACAATGTTGTTGAAAAATTGGGCAATTACGCAGTTAATACGAGAGAAGATGAAGACTTCCGGAAGGATTCTCCACTTTCAGCTAGCGAGGATGAGATGCCACCAGTTCTAGTGGACCCCGAGATAGAGATTCCAGCTAAGGTAACAATCGCTACTTTAGAAGGTAGTGACTCTAAGGTAATAGACAACCCAATAGATTATGAGATTATAGTGCCTCGAGCTAGCATCTTGCAGATAGTGAGAGGTACATTAATAGGAATGACCTTAGATGTCTACATGGGTTATGAGTTTGAGGAGCCGAAAACAAATATAGGTCCACCCCGGATAAGCGAAATGCAGATTTTTCAGATGTATAGACCCCCTCCTGAATTGCCTTGATGAAGGGAGGTCCAACATGTCATAAATTAGCTCATTGTGTGCCATATCGAGAACAATACATGGAGATATTCAGAGGTTGCTTTTAGGTTAGCAGGGGGCACCTTGTTAGATGTTTAGACGGGAGAGATGAACCCCAACTTTGTAGTGGGCCCAAGGAGCTTGATGGAGAAGAAAATTCTGCAATGGGATCCAGATCGTATTTGTGGGGAGGTCTCTCCTAAGAGTGTCAGTGAGAGTGACGTAGCTTGTCATAGATTTAATCCTAGAATTGAGTTCCCCTCACATACTTACTGCTCAACCACCACACGCTAGACACAAGAAGTGAAAGGAGAAGAGTTCAAATGGAAGGGCTCGAGAGTTGCATTGCGGAACTCACCTCTATATACAGCTCCCGCTCAGGACATGCCAAAAGATAATGACTACTTATTCTACCAGAATGTGATGTGGAATGACTATACTGCCGTGATCGACCTACTAGAGGACTTACCGCCGTACCATGAAAACCAGAAGCTTCGACAGATGAGGTCGAAACTCCCCCAACCTTGAGAGACTGCTGCAGGGCTCATGGGGGACCAACTGGGTGCAGTTCCAACCAAGTTGGACCGGCCAGTACTCTTGGAGGGGGGCCCACCTCCCCCTCCCCCTCCATCATCCCCTTTTCTTTCTTTTTTTCTCCCTTCCCTTTCTTTCCCTCCTTTCTCTTCGTTTTTTTATTCCTAGGCCTTTTCCTAATTTAAATCCTTTCCTAAAAGCCTAAATCCTGATTTTATTCTCCTTCCTTAATTTAAATCATTTCATAAAATGTAAAATCTAATTCTTATTCTCATTTTCTATTTTAGAAGCCTTTCTTAAAATCTGAAATCTGATTTTTATTCTCCTTCTCATTTTAAATGTTTCCTAAATATATCATGTCTCTTTATAAATATGAGATGATGCGCTTTGAGTTCAGGGTCTGTTTTATGAAATCTGAATTCAGTTTTGTCTAGTATTTTCTCACTTGAGGGTTGTATCAGATATCAAGGTAGTGCTCCGACTGTCCCTTGTCCAAGGTGATTATTGTCTCCATGGGTTCGGGTGGTGCTCCGACTGTAGCTCAACCCCGCTGAGATATTTATCTCTTCGTCCATCCTCCCGGCTGTTGTCCTACTTCTTCCACAGCAGCCCCCACTCTCCGGTCTTCACCACACCGCCAATCCAGTCTCCAATGACGTTCTTGCACCTCTCCAGCTGCGTTTTGACGCCATTGCTATCATCATCCTTGCTTCCACTGCATTTTATGTTGTCATGTTTGTTTTTCGTCTATTTCCTGCTTTCCCGTATCGTGTTTGTAGTATATTTGGAATTTAGAAATAATATTTGTGTTTCCGTTATGATTTGGGTTAGCACCGGTATCAAGACTTGTGTTCCTTAGACCATTAACTGATTACATTATTGATAGAAACCATTGAAAATAGTCTACATTGTAGATTGGAGTAAAAATGGGGGAAATAATTCTCGAGTAAAAAAAAGGGTCCATCTGCATTTAGGTCACAGATCTATGTATATAAAATCAATTCTCCATAAATTTACTTGAATACAATCGCAAAGTGATTAGAGTAGAAAAATGGAAACAACAACACTGGAGATAAGCATGTACTTTATTTGGACGATTAGTTGAAAAATTAAATTAATTCAAGCTGGAATAAGTATACAAGGATATTCCAAATAAATTTGATAATATTTCACAAAAATATGAATATACTGTCTAATGCAGGGTTTACACAGAAATTGATGAGCTCCGAACTACATTGCAAAAATGTTATTTCTACGATTCAAACTCCTGACACTAGCATCACAATAAAGGCGACCTACAATTACTCTAGGCCACCACCTGAAAAAACTTGACAACTCTGACCAGTTGAGGCGCTGCTAAGTTGCAAATATTTAGGATACATCCTTACTTCAAATTTATTAAACTATATTTTGGTTTCTTAGATATGAAAACCATAAAATGCTTTTCTTTGTTGGGTTTGGATGCATTGATGCAAATTGAAACCAATTCTGGACAGGGACAGCATGGCAATGGGATAACAGGTGCTGGCGGAGTGCAACAGGATCATTGTATTTGCAGGTTAGGTAGTTGCGAGTCCCAAAAACCGGAGAGATTGTGTGCAAATGATAAGATGGTTGCATGCAAGCGTATGCGGGAAAAAAATCGAGGTAAGGCAGGCGTTGGCGTCTTCATATGGAATCTAGTGGCCTTGCGAGTTCTAGTGCTGCCTTTGCATGAGAACTGGCTAAGGAGATGTGCAAAGCTTCTGTTCAAGTTCGTCTGCGTTATAAAGAGTGAGTCAGATTTGTTTTCATATAGAATAAATTTAAAATTCACTCAATTTCAAATTGAGCAAGAAGAGCATTCGGGCGGACGGTTAACTGAGAACTTTATAAGATGAACATGCACTAAATTTGAAATTCACTCAATTCGAGTGAACTTATTCACCAAAAAAAAGATATTAAATGATTCTAAATTCTTTAAAGAAATAATTCAGATTTGTTTTCATACAGAATAACTAAGAATTTGAAATCCAGATATTCCAAATGTAATACACTGTAATACATTAAAAACAAATAACCCCTAGAGAATGCAAACATTAAAATAATAAACAAAATAAAAAATTGCTTAAATTTTCATCAAAGCAATCTACAAAATAATATGAAATCATGCGGTCGTAAAATTACCCCATTGCATGCTATTGTTGAACATATTATTTGTCCCAACATGTGAATCAACCATAGTATAATTGGATCGGGAAGCTTGACTTTTCTGATGCGTCCTCAAACCATGCACTGGTATTGATTGCATAAGATTACTATGCCGATTAACTGATTGCTGACTAAAACGGCTCGGAGTGTTTTGTGCCACATTGGGTAGGCGGCTGAGGCCAATATGCAAATCATTTGCTTGGTGTGGGCTGCTCTCATCAAGCGGGTATGCCGGGAACTGAATATCTGTTCTGTAGTGTGGATAAATAACGTAAATAAAAAGCAAATGAGACTATGCAAGTAGTTGTAAAAGATGGCAAAGCGTCCATAGGAGGATTCTACCAGAATTGAAACTAACAATTTTGGAACAATAAAGAAGCAGAGAAAATAATGAAAAAAGGAAGTTGGCAATCATCATATGAGCAACAGATAGAAGTGCAGATCATCAAATAATATGAGCATCTATCATACAAATTTATAAAATGCATGATTAACAGTAAGAGGACTAAGCAAATTCAAGGGTCAAGGAGACCTATCTCTTAAGACTCATTTTCTAAACCAAGAAAATGCCGGTAATTAACAATTGGACCAAAAATAGTAGATATTGTAGAACTTGGGGAAGAAAATGGCTTCTTTGATTATTCACAAATAGGGTACATATATATAGAGAAATCAATCCATCCTTATTTATGAACTTACCAAACATAACTCACCTAAATTAATAAAAGAAATAATTTTGAATAAAAAATAGAATAACATAAAATAGGAAGGGAATAAACCAAATCAAAAGTTTACTAAGGGTCAATTTGGGGCAGCTGCAGCTTATCCAACTTATCAGCTTATTCAAATAAGCTGCTGATCAGCAGCTAATTCGGATAAACTGACTAGCTGTTTGATTTATGCGTTTGGAAAACAACTGATTTACAGTTGTTTCTGGATAAATGTCAATTCTGCCCGTGCAGTTGGACTGTTTGTAACAGAACTTTCATGGCTATATATTTGATAGTTTAGAAAAAAAAATCACTTCATAACACTACAAAAAAAAGGATATACACCTCAGGATTAAAAATAGGGATAGCACTAAACATAACACTTCAACACATAATTCCATATGCATAGATAGAACCAACAACAGTAGGAAAAAAAGCATAAAATAATCCAAACATACACTAATAACCCAAAAGATCAAAGAGCCATATATCCATGCATACAAACATAAATTAAACAAGAACTAAGAAAAACAAAATTTTAATATGTCTGAAGTTGCATTGTGCAACATCGAGCTCAAAAATCTGAACAAAAGAGTTATAAATAAAACATAATAATAATAATAAAATCAGTTTATCTTTCGGTACAACAGATTTCTCAGTGAAACCCAAAATAAAGTTATGGAAGAAACAAAGGAATGTCAGCTCATCGATTAATCGCAACAGAATCTAAAAACCCTAATAAATAACGAAATATCTGAATCTAAATTAGGAATAATAAGAAGTTTTAAGAATATTGAAACCTGCAATCATCTTGAAGAGTACAAAAGGATTTGTATGGTTTATCAGATTAGGATCTTCTATGAAGAAAAACCTATACATGAAAGTATCAAAACCAGGGCTGAGGCTGCGCTTGCAGAGACCACAAGTCGTGAGGAAGGCGACAACCTTTACTACGAAAGGATCTCCGGAGTACCTCCGCTTCAAGGCCTTCCATGGCGCAGGCGAAAGCGACAACTTTCCATCCCGTCGGAGCTCTAAAAATGGAGGTGGTGGTAGGATTTCCTCCAAAGAGGTTGCTATCGCAAGATCGGGAGACAACTCCTTCAGGCTCTTCATTCTCTTAGGGTTTCAGACTCAAAAAGGGGATGAAGGAGAAGGTAGGCGACGACTTCAGGCGACTTCAGGCGAAACGTGGAGAGGCGAAACTCATGTAGGCGAGAAAGACAGAGCGAGGGAGGAGACGAACAACTTCAAAGGGCACAAGAGGAATAACATGTCGATACGTTGTTCAAAACGCGGGTCACAGGGTCGATCCCACGACCCAATCTATTAAGGAATCGAAACACCATTTGTCAATAAGCTACCATAACGCACTAACCAAACTATGCGACGACGTTTTCAAAACATCGCCGCAACTGATAAGCTGCCCCAAACAGACCCTAAGATATCCCAAATAAATCCTCCAAGCTTTGAAGGTGGTGGCCGACCCACATGAGAGAGGTATATATGGAAAGAACTTATCTTCTCAAATTTCCACACTCCCCTTCAAGCTAGCTCGTAGATGTTTTAGAGACCAAGCTTAGTATTGAATTATGAGAAGTTGTTGAAAGGAAGAGCTTTGGTGCATTTTAACACTGTCAATCGCTTTCCCCGACACCACCACTTAGGTATGTCACGAGATTGGTGTGTTGCTTTGAATTATCTCCGGAGTAAAACTTGGAGTCTGCATCCCGTACTTGGTTATCAATCCAAAGAGTACTTAAGGCTGCTTCTAATTGACTGTGCTTGTTTTGACTACAATTTATGTAGTTTACTTAAGAGTGGAAGGTTTTTGTAGGAAAGGAAATGTTGTAGGTAATTTTGCAGAGAAGCTTGAAGGGAACTAGACAACCTACAAAGAAAACTGCAAAGTGTGGCCTGTAAGGAAAAAAGAAAGAGCAACAACAGGGAAGAACAGACAAAGGGCCTACAATAAGGAGAAGCTCCGACGGAGGGTCTGCAACATGAAGATTGGATTCAAGGAGAATTCTGGAGGGCTTACAATAGGGTCACTTTCGACTATAAGTGGAATTTTGGAGAGGCTTGCAACAAGGACAATTTATGTTGCAGGGAAAAGCTACGAAAGTGTATGTATGGAGAAATTTGGCCAACGAAGTTCCGACTGCCTACAACTAATAATTAATACTGGAAGGTTTGTTGCCATGAAGACTCTAGTGGAATAAATTGAATAGAGGAGATTCTGCAGAGAGAATTCTGGTGCTAGGAAGAAGAAAAACTTGAGAGGAGGCAGATCAGCTGAAAAGATTCCGACGGAGGAGGGCCTTCAGTGGGAGGATTTTGGTTGCATGGAGAGTTCTGGTGGCAAAGGAGAATAGAGGACCTGTAGGAAGTTTTGCGGCATGCAGGGAGTATTCTAGTGTTGATGGCTGTAGAGAAACTCTGAAGAAGGGCCTGCTATAGGAAAAAGCTCCGAGGGAGGGTTAGTTGCAGGGAAAAGTTCTGGGGTAGGGCATGCTGCAGGGAAAAAAATTCAGTGGAGAGATTGTTGCAGGAAAAACTCTTATGGAGGGCCTGCTACATGAATAAGCTCCAGACATGTGGCTACAGGAAGGATTCCAGCATCTGCTGCGAAAGACTTAGGAGGGTCTATCGGAAAAAGAAGGTAAGCAGTGAGGAGGGCTTGCAACAGGATACTTCCAGCTACAGAGAAGTGTGCTAACAAATAAGTTTTCCGATGGCAATTGGAGGAGTTCTTGCAGTAGCAAGGTCTAGAAGCCTATAGGGATAAAGCAATGAAGGCAAACCTGCTATAAGGAATATCAAGAGTTGTTGTTGTTGTTGGCTGGAAAAGCTGGAGTTGCCGCTATTCCTGGTCGAGGTTTCTACTGCATGGAAGAGTAGCCTGGCAAGAAAAAAGCCCAGTGGAGGCTGCTGGGTGCTGTCGAGGCAAGCAGAAGACAAGCAAATGAACTTTTATGCTTTGGGAGAAGATTAGAATAACAAAGCACTGCCATGTAGCGAGTACATGAGGAGTCGATGCAACAATCCCATCTCTCGTGCGCACGAGAAGAGACGTCTATGAAGCATTGAAGATGGCATCCAAAAAACCCTTGGGATTCTTTCTTATGGTCAGTGTTGTTGCTGCTGTTGCAGAAAAATTTCGGCCACGGCGGTAGAGGAATAGAGAGACAAGGAATCCAGGAGATAGGGGAATAGAGATGACAGGTTCATGGTACCCTGACCTGGTTACCTCTACTTTATAGGATTACCCTACCATTCTTTTGTTGAGCCCCTTTGAGCCCTGCCGCCCTTTGTGACTTCGTTGATGTCTTCTTGACGGCCCCTACTGTCGATATGCAAGCTGCCCGTTTAGGATACGATGATTCACCCTCTGCCCTCACGACCTGGTGAGCTTTGAAGCATAGGAATATTCCTGTCAAGTCGACTTGGTTATTTCTTCAGGCCTCAGTTATTGGCAGATCGTTGTACACCTGTGGATTTTAGGGATTTACCCTCTCCCATGTGGTTCGGTATATACCCTAGAGGCGATGAGATTCTCCTGTTTGAAATAACCATCATTTGATGGCCTATTCTCCAGGTTCATAAGATAATATAAATGATACTCCTTTTATCGAAAGTACTCTTAGGTATCCCCTAAGGCATAATTAACCAGAGGGATACGTTCTTCTGGGAGACTTTTGACCCTAAAACAAAAATATTTTTTTTGGTTCTCCGGTTACGAGTTGCTTATGTAGAGATTTTCTTCGTAGATGTTGTGTTTCAAAATACTTCGATCTGATCCTGTTTGGATGTATATTCTCGACCCATCACACGAGGACTACCCATATATAAGTCTTCTGCTTATTTTTTTTTCTTTGTTTGCTTATTTTTTGTCGCATTTCTTTTTTCATTATCCTCTCATCTTCGAATCATTTGCAAGTTTCAGGAGGGAGATTTATTCGAATAAGAAAATTATACGATGACATATAAATAGATAAACTGACGACTCCATGTGCTCTAAAAAAACTGAGAAAATAGTAACTAAGGAGTGGCCCACTCCTTATGGGCGGCAACTTCAGCACCGAGGGTTAGTTGACCCCTCCCCCTCTCATTTAAATTGGTCTAAGCTCACTATAGGTTCCTGCACCCGATCCAAGGATTCACGTCCGTGTCACCTACTTCACACCTTAAGACTCCTGTCTGACCCTGGTCCGCATTTACGCAATTATTTAATTTCCTAGCAAAAAATTTAAACACAGTTTCTTTAGGCGGTCAGTGTGTTATAAAATTTAGAATTTGATTTATAGTTTACACATTAAGAATTCTACGCAAGTATACGTATCATTCAAGTAATATAGTGCTCTAATGGAGTCCCAATTATCGATCCCATAAAAAAATGAGGTAAGAAATCCCTTAAGCTAAGTTATAGTATACTACTATCAGGTCCTAGTTTGGAATGTCGATTAAGAGTGTTTGTTTAACTACTCATAAACACAAACCTAAATCTAAAGTTAAACCTGATTAGATAAATTAGTTTGGTG